AGTTTGTAGTCGTCAGGTATCTGTACTGTCTTAATAGCGTCAATAAAGTTCTCCGTAGATTGTAGTTTGCGTCTTGATTTGTCGGTAAGGGGTTGCAGTATGGTCGCCAAGTACTTAGACAGTTGATACGTAGGGGACCCACAGAATGACACTATAGATCGCATCGGTATACCAGGTTTGTGCAGCTTCGGTAGTCCGTAAAGTTTCGGCGGTTGAGGTACTGAGCACCTCAGTCGATAGTAGGGTTGAGTGTCAATAGCGTCAGTCTTTTTAAGCGTAAGTATTTTGCTGTTAAGTTTACGTTGAAGTAAGTTTGTTTGTCGTTAACAAGTGCGTCCATTTTGTCAAAGTAGTCAGTCTTGTCCATAACAACAGTGACACGTCCTTTGTCGGCCGGTAGTATGACAATGTTGTTGTCGTTTTTCAGTCGTTTCAGTGCTTGTTGTTCGTCTTTTGTCAAGTTATTGTCAGGTATAGAGGCTGATTGTACCGTGGAAACAATGAGTCGCGGAGTTTGGTCATAAATAGGTTAAGAGTTTTGTGAAGTGGGCTGCACTGACCCCCACCCAATTTTTCTGGGATGTACTAAACACATTTTCCTAGCAGTTACTACAATCTTGCTTTAGTAAATCAAAATAGTACTTGCTGCCAGGTAGTTTATAAAAGTATAACCCTTCCAGAAGCCTTCACAAAGTACATGTAATATCAGCTGCTAACAATTACTTTTTTTGCGGCTGAGTAAAATTTTGTATTAAATTGTACTGAGCTGGCACAGATTTAATATACATTTTGTCACTTTTAGTTCACAAGACTACTCAGCAGCAACTAGTGCCTCTTGTATGACCATTCAGTAACAGCATATTCCGGGGCGAGGTTAGGCAGGTGAGGTTGTATTCGCGCCTGGCGTGTACGCAAAAGCGCCAAAAGTGCAAATTTGTCCCAAGACTTTTGGCCATGATTGTAGAATTCATTATTTCCACGCAAACGATGACTCCTGTGGAATTCAGCGAGGAAGAAATGACATTTCGTAAAAAACACGCCTTCAAAACAGCGTGTTTTTGGATAAATAATTGCCCTGTTCTTCAAACAAACTGATCTGACGAGGAAGACAAAATTTTGTTTATCGTGGCCAAATGAAAATATCCGGCAGATTGCGAAATATTGCCATTTTACTTACTGAGAGAACGATTATATATTATGCCATACTCAAATTTGATTTTGCCGCTCAGCCCGCTGTTTTACCGGATGTGACGTCATTTTTCGTTGGATGATTCAGATAGACAAAAAGTGCCAGGATTGAAATTTGACTGAAGTATTAGTTTTTGTTGCATGAAAATGTTTTGTCTGCTTATGCTTTGTGTAGTTTGAAATTATTCAAACTCAAAACAGAAGGCCAAACAATATAGGCAGAAAACCTCACCACAAGGTTACATTAAAACTCAAATCAAAGTTCTCACTTATCCTGGGTTAGCTCAATCCGGCTTTGAACAACCTGGTCCAGGAACTCCGCTTTTAGGCTTGGCTAAATCTATATATTAAGCTCTTTAAAAATACCTCAGGAAAGAAATTTGAATTACCTTATCTTTTAGTTTTGTTGTCGTTCACACTACATTTCTTTTGTATTCCATGCAGCTTGACCAGAGGGAAAATTTCTTCACAGATGGTATGCAACTCAACCTACATGAACAATCGAGTAAATATATGCCGAAATATTTTAGTGATGGATGGGCAAATTAAGTCCAAGAGACTGTGTAGATCTACTTTTTGTGAGAGAGATGTACTGTTCAGTTGAGTCAAACGTAAACTGGACGCATGGTGGCTGGTTATTTAGAGTTTTTCTTTTGCTTCTAGAAATGAGAGATTTAAACAAATTGAAATCAAAACTTGAAATAATTATGGAGAAGAGAATGCTGGATACTTGTCAACATAAAAAAAAATGTATGTTCTGTAGTCATTGCAAAAATTTATTGGGAGACATCTGCAATCCTTTTCAATATTACTGCATTGCTAGTGAGATTAGCACAAACAATTACCACGATATATAGGAATAAAATGCTGTGATTTTTGTCTCCAAGAAAGAAAATTATTATTTTACTTACAAACACTACAACATGTAGTGTATGTACCCTTATTATTGTATTGCACCAAGCTGGGGGGGCTTCTCCATATAGTTGACTAAAGGTGCACTTTTTCAGGCTGGGGGTATTACAAGACTTACGGTAACGGGTAAGGGATTTCAAACATTGTTTATTTATCCAAGAAATATGATCTAGTGGGGCTACATTAGATTTGTGAAAGGGGTTTCAAGCTGCAAGCTACATGTATATGAAAGGGAAGCCTTTCCTGTCAAAAACATTATGTAAAATGGATAAGGTTTTGGCCTTGGGGCAGAGCCTCCTTGTATAAAACTTTGTCACTCTCCATGGATATCGTTATATGGTAAAAAAAAACTTATAAATTGTGAATAAAAACAGCCCCTTCATTTCAGGTTCAAGAATGAAACAAAACTGTCTGAAATGATTCTTATAATATTGAAGGAAATACTTTTCTATCTATAGATTTCCCATTTACCAGCAAGCTAAAATCAAATTGTCTATGTTTGACATAGCATCTTGGCATTCTTAAGTTGATTGTCTCAAATAAAATATGCCAAAATCATGCATTGCATTATAATTTTTGCATAATTGTTATACAGCTGTTTCATGTTAACTGAACTAGCACCACAACCAATTTACCTTGACCCAAAATGAACAGCCGACTCAGTAATATTTTAAAAACACATATCATAACCAACACCAGTGACTAGGTGTCAATTTTGGACTGACTGGTGAATGCGGTGAACTCTCATTCAATGATTCCATTTTGCAACAGACTGTTGTCATTCTTTGACACTACATCATGTACAAGTTAATAGAATAACAATGTTCCAGTTCCAATGAAAATTAATTATTAACAATTTTAAAATTTATAAGCAGTCTGTGTAAACAACCTGTTAATTGATTTTTTAAATTCTTTTCTACTTCAAGCAGTCTGGGTTCAAGCCCTGGCTGGGGACTTTGTATTGTGTTCTTGGGCAAGGCACTTTACTCTCAGTGACCTCCCTCCACCCAGGTGTATAAAAATCATGATATATGTGTATTTTTCTAATGCTGGGGTAACCCTACGACAGACTAGCATCCCATCCAGGGGGGAGTAGAAATACTCCTAGTCACTTCATGCTGCAGAAACCTGGATAAGTGCCGGTATGACAGGCCACTTAGCTTGTATGCAGACTTTACTTCCACTTCCAAGTTGTTCTTGGCCTCTTTTTCAGAACGAGTGCTTGTGCAAAACGTTCCATATGAAAATGACTTGATTTTCATGAGAATGAACATACAGGTGACATACATTTTCATATGAATAGTTTTGCACAAAGACTTGTTTTGACACAGGCAAGAGTTAACTTGGAATTGGCCTATTCATCCATGAGGTGGCTCATGGGAGCCTTTGATTTAAGGGAGGACACTCTGGAGGTCAGCTACATTTAGCGACCAAATTCTTAGTACAGGTTTAGTTCCTGCTGCTGTGTATCTAGTACATTATATAGTAGGGGGGTCCGGAAGCATGTTCCCCTGGAAAATTTTGAGTTTTCAGAGTCCCAGGAATGCTATGTTAGGTATTCTGGCAGAACTTTTGGACTATTATAGATGCTCTCATTACAATACCTATATTCAAGTGCAAACTGACAAAAGCAGGACAAAAGACTGATGTTGCATCTGTTTTATAAAAGGGAGGTTGTTTGTGGAGGTTGAGCTATATTTTGCAACCAAATGCTTAGTAGAGGCTTAGTTCTTGCTGTAGGGTATCTAACAAAGTAAGGGGGCCTGGGGGCATGCTCCCCTGGGAAATTTCAAAACTTTGAGATCCTCAGGAATGCTATTTTAGGAGTACTAGCAGAACTTTTGCACTACTGTGGAAGTTGTCAATAAGGTAATGTTTTGAGTGCCCCCTAGACATATTTTTCTGCTTGTCCCCTTTTTGAGCTATATGTTTTAGCATGCCCCCCTAAGTCCCACCAGCCCCTCTACCTTATATGAAAAAATGAATGGTCCCACATTCCTCCTTTATAATTATGTTTGTTGCTGAGATACTCTCTTGCAATTGCAATGCATCAATATATGTTACAAATCCCCATGATGACAATAAATTCATCCCAAAGGTAACACTAAGGCCTTTGGCAACAAAACACTCTCTCACCTAAAGATGTTGCTGATTACTGCAACAATTCAAGATGCATAGAAACAACTAGCTTATTAACTGATATATAGTATATTTCACCCCCTTAGCATCATGAACAGTCTTAAGCAGTGCAAAAGATGGAACCCCTACTGACAAATAGGAGTGTAATTGTAAGAGAAAGTAGTGACACACCAATTTTCGAATATGGCAAGACCCAAAGAATATGGTATGTAAACTGTTACCCTTCAAGCAAGGAAAACTAAAACATAACAGGAGACAAGTTACATTTGACTATACCATGCAGGCTTAACCTAACCATAACTACAAGATAGCATGATGGCAGGATTACTTGGTCAGATTATTATTGCAATTAGAAAAAACCTCTTTTGATGAACACTTGACGAGCTTTCCTTTCACTAGAAAACTGTCCAGAGGAATGAGATATTATAGCGAGTCACCTATGACCCAGATGTAATGCAAAAAACCCTTGTAACACAGATCAAATGAAATAAACAGTAGTAGGCAGATGCAAGTGTCACTCGTGTCAAATAAAATAGAATCATTGCCAATTACATTTTCTTTACATTCTCACTGGTGACGGAATGACATAACCTAGCGTCCTTGCACAAAACTAATACATCAACACAATGACAATGTAAAAGAAATATGATAACAAGCGAGATACTAAACTATAACAGGTAAGGTAAAAACCAATGGACATCAAACACTGGCAAAACACTTTGATTTCCAAAATTTCAGACTGTTCTCTGAAAAAAAAAAGGTAACCTGACTTGCTACAAGAATGCTACAATTTTCTTTTAATAATTACCTCTTACATAACCTTTCGCATGTATGTATGAATGTATCAAACAGAAAACTATGCAATGAACTAAAGAAAACTGATCAGTGATTTCTGCTGTCAACCCAAGCTATGCACGTGACAAATAACCTAGTTAGAGAAGAGTACATTAGAAAGCTTTGAACTGATCTAATGTTCAGTCATCCTGGACAGCAATAGAGCATCCCTGAGCATGTGATCTCTTAAATTCCATAATGCATCAACAGCATTTTCATAGTCACCATAGCCACAACCCAGCCACTGGATTGGTAGCTGGGCCAGTTGCTGAGGGGTCATACTAGTTGCATCAGGTTTATGTGCTTGGTTCCAGTTGCTCATATGTGGACTGCCGTCACGAAGTCCTTCAATGTACCTCAGGTAGGCATCGGAGTGATGCAGTCGTTGTGGCTTAGGAGGTGGAGCGAGGAATATGGGTGAAGGCTGCATATGGTATCAGAAAATCATGTAAGAATTTGATGAGCTACAATTGGTGCCAAAAATAGCTGAAACACTTTTAGAAAGTGACAGTTTTCTATATTTAACCTCTTATTATATTTTATTTGCATCTAGTGTTACTTCACTGATACTCCCAGCCCCTTATTTCGATGTTGTGTAGGTGCTGTGGTCTGTGGAGTCTAAAAAATAGAAAAATCAACATTGTTTGGGGGGAAGGGGTAGGGGGGAAATGTTTCCAAGACACTCAAAAATCAAATTTTACTGCCAAGTGTTTGAACACTTTTGTCACTCACTGTAGCTTTAAGACCACAGAACAATAACCATTGTTTATTTGGCTCTGCCATTGACAAAAATCCCACTGATCTCCTAAAAATGGCAAAAGTTCTTCCAACTCAGTGACAGAGAATGAAATTGGATGAGAATGGACTTTTTCCAGGTGGGAATTTTTGATATGTTTTTGTTTTTTAAAAGGCATGGTTATACAAGAGGTTTAAGTAATACTTCTTAAAGCAAAATAAGAAGAAAAAAAGCTACTCAAGCCAAAATTCACGAAGAGTCTCACCGTCTCTGTGAGATGAAAAAAGTATACCTGAAAATTTAGAACAATAAACAAGGGCTTTTTAAGGTCATTCCCCAGTATTGCATTGCGCATCCCTACTGCGCATAATTGCAAGCGTGATTAGTGTGCGCGCATTAAAAAATGGTGGCTTTTCCTTTGCAGCTGGACCTTGCCATAGAGGTAAATCGTCACTTTCTTGAAAACAAGTATGGTGACCATTCATTTTTCTCTGTTGTGTTGAATTGAGTAATAAATTTCTCCATGTAAAATAAATATGCGCAATTCTCAGTGTTAAGCAAGAAACAATCGTCGGAAACATGAGTTTAGCAAGCAATCGTGACTATCATCATCGTGCTATTGTGAGGATTTACATGGTATAAGCAAGGTACTGTTGCTCATAAATGAACATGGGGACCCCTCATTTTTATTTCCAAATTTAAGTTCCTACAATATAAACAGTCAATAGGCAAAGTTTGACAAAAATCTCAGTGCAGGTTCTATTTCAGTGGAATGACCTTAACATTATTGTTCCACGGTCTGAACACAATACAGGCCAGACATCATCAGTATAACACAGCATCTATAATGATGTTTTTGCTTTCAAATAGAGGGCAATTTATGAACAAATTAAGAGAATGAAAGTACGAAAGACAGGAAGCTTGTCCTCTTTGATCATTCTTTTCATATTTTTCAGTCTAATAGTGCAAATGGCATCCTGTAAATATCGAGAAGTTCTTTTCTTCATTCTTTAAGTAATATGATAATCTACTTATTGTATTCACCATAACAAGGTTTAGCTGGATCATGATCATTTGCTGTCATCTCATCATCGGCTCTGAATAACTCATGCTAATACATTCATTATAAACACTTTATGATTCTTCACATTGCTATGACAAGTACATGTACGTGATTTAAGTTTATCTTACTGTTTCCTTGACGGGTGGCACAGGCTGGACATGGACTGGTGGCATGACCTGTTGCTGTTGTTGAGGTGGTGGTGGTGGTGGTTGTTGTTGAGGCTGTTGTTGTTGTTGTTGTTGTTGTTGTTGTTGTACCTGTTGAGGGTAGTGCTGCTGTATGCTGTTGATCTGGTTGATCTGTGGTTGGAAGTTAAACTGTTGTTGCTGTGGTGCAGGGCTGTATTGTTGTTTGACTTGCTGCTGTTGTTGTTGTTGAGGAAAGCCTCCAATTTGACCTGAATAGTTTGCAACAAAAGTCATGTTCAGTGACTGACAATGCCAGTAGTTTTCAAGTGTAAGATTATTATTTTGTTTTATGCCAGATTGCAAGTGATAGTCAATTCTACTACAAGTTTGCTCCGAGAACTATGCTACCATGTAAACATTTTTTAAAACTTGAAACAGGTGAGAATTCTCACTAACAGACAGCAACATTGAGAAGGAGCAGTAATGATTGATTTACCTTCAATAACCAGGAGTACAGTTGAATTGGAAGGTGTATATAACTGTGCTATACAGGTAAGTAAAGAAGGAAGCAATAGATTGCATGTGGCACATGTTACCTGTGGCAGGCACTTGTTGTGTCACTGCTTGTTGTGTCATACCATGTAGCATGCCTTGTGCTGGTGGACTAGTCATGGCACTCACTCCAGTATTACCTTGATAAAGTGCTGCAAACATGGAACATTAATTACTACTGCACAAATTCAAAGTAAGTATCAAATATAAGCCTATGGTAACTTATAGATATAGAAGGTAATCAATTGACCAAAGACCTGGTATCTTAGTAAATGCATAGTTAATGTAGTAAAAACCAACCTTGCTGCATGGCTTGTGGTGTGAGCCGTCCTCCAATATAAGCATTGGTTTGAATCTGATTGGAAGTTTGAATTTGATTGCTTGACTGAGCAAACTGATTTCCCCCAGGGATCATTCCCATCAAGTGAGTTGGTGCTCCATTAGAGCTCATTGAGGGGACATTAACAGTGGGGCCAGTTGTGCGTTGCACAGTTGTGGGCTCTGGACTGGATACAATCAATGCTGCCTGGTGTTTTGGGAAGTAGTTCCTAGAAAGATACAGTAATACCAAACAGCTTTGTCAACTAATTACTCGGTTTATTCACTTGCTTCAAAAAGTCATTTTACTAAAATTAAACAGCTGTTGCTCACCCCACGATTAATAACAAATGGATCCAAAATGGGGTTACATTTTGATGTTACATCACTAATGATATTTTCCCTAGTTAAAGGTAACTACACATCGATGTTAACAAATGAAAACTAAAAGTTGTCACAAACATTTTCAGTTATTAAGTTAAAGCCAAAAAAGTTATGACTGAGGCCATGTAATAGCAAGTACACTGGAGATAATAACAGAACCTCCTTAAGTGATTCACTTTTCATATAGCCCTGAGTTTCAGAAAGGGTGCCAGGAGAAAAAAAGTCACAAGAACAGGTCAAGATGACCATTTCCAATAAGTTTTTTTCAGGGAAACAAAAGTTTGTCTCACTATCTAAATTCAATCTCCTCATTTAACTCACACATGTTCAAGACTCACTTGCTTCTTTGTTGCTGGGTAATTTGTTTTGGTTGCCCTGCTAAATGCACCTCTCTGCAATGTCTGAATAGCTTAGAGCTGGCATTAAATGGCCTGTAGAGAAGAGAAAAGAAAATGAAAAGATAGATATTCGCATGAGTCAGTGGTGGGTAGGTAGGTACATAGGTAGCTGCAACTCTGGACGAAACTGTCGAGAAAGTTTACCAATTTTTCAAATGCATGTAATACTATGGTGGATCAGCTGCAGGCTTATAGAGAGCGTGATGTAATCAGAGCACATCAAACTGGCCCACCTTCCCATCCCACTCAATGCTGATTTGGTCTGAATCATGTTACCCAAACCAACATTGAAAGAGGGGGAGGGGGATAGCCACCACTAGCACCAGTATACCAGCACAATTTTGGTATTTTCTAAAATTGGTCCCAACAAGCCCTGTCCAGGGTTGTATCAAAGCAAAGTCTGTGTCTGGCCACTTGGTCCAGTGCAAGAATGGAACAATTTTGATTAGAGTGGATTTCGAGAATATAGTTATTCTTAACAATTTAGCTGAGCTAAGAAGAAAGATTTCAGCCACTGATAGCAAAGCTTAAAAGATAAGAACAAAGAGTCACAATTGATTATAAACTTTTACCTAATCTGTTACTGAATAGGAAAATTTTGAGAGGGAATTACTGTGGCAACTTGTATTTTCAATTTGTTAAACAGTCGTTAGATTAGGCACATTCGTTTTATCACCTCATTCCTCGGCGCTCCCTGGTACACGTAGTCCACAGGCAATGGAAAAAACCATCCTCTACAAAACACACGTAATGTGAAGAATATTTCAATGTGTCTCCTTTGATACCAGTTATTTATAAGAACCAAATGTTATAAGTTTTAAATAGTAAACCCCCTCCACCAACACAATCTGAACTTTATTGATCTTAATATTCCCACTCTTGCTCTAGATATGTAGATATCTAGCATTGTGTTATGTGCCAGCAGTTGATGAGCAAAACTGGCATTCCACATTTTGGCGATATGCTATTGACTTAAAATGTTGTCCTGTTTCACTCTTCATGAACAGAAAACACTAATTAACATTGTACTCCAGCCCATGCTGTTTACATAATAATACAGAATTCACCTGATTTACGAAGATGGCATGTGCTGTCTAACAAATGTATTTTCAAGTCTTGTAGATCCTCATACTGGTAATCACATCCTCTCCACAAACACTCATAAGCTAGCACTGGGCCAGTAGGTAACACATGACTGCTGTCTGCTGCACCCTGCAGTAACAGTGGTTAGATCAGAAAACAAACATTTTAGGTTAGGGTTAGGGTTAGAAAACAAACATTTTGTACATCAGTTTGTAAACTAATCAGTACAGCAGCTGATTGATGTTTTGATTATACACCTACCTCAGCATCACTTTGGGATAGCTGCATTTGGGCCCTAGCTTCATACTCTGCTTTCTTCTGTGCACTGATGTTACGCCACTAACAGGAAACATGTGCAATACAGATCTGTTAGGATGCTGATTAGTGGCTTCAGTGGCTGTAACAGATTACAGAGTTTAGTTACTAATTACCTCAACTCCGATGATGCGACTTATTTCTCCAAACGCATACTCTGGATGATCCTTTCTGATAGATGCTCTCATCTCATGAGAAAATAAAAGGTACCCTGACTGACCTCTCTGCTTTTTAGGTTTCTGTAAATAGAACAAAAAATAAACTTACAAATAGGGTATAATGTATGGCTAGAGGGAACAGGTTAATAAATGTAGAAGTCAAAGCATGTCAAATTACTCAGATAAAACATTTTCTGTGCTCCCAACGGGAGTTGAACCTACGACCTCTCAGATACCAGCTAGATGTTTTATCCACTGAGCTATGGGAGACTCGTAGTGAGCAAGGTCATAAACTAGGTTCTTACGGGACATATGGCCTGCTAACTACACGGCTCCACAATGTTAAAATGATAACTGTAAATTATAAGAAGTGGAATGTTGACTTGGCAAAAAGTGAATGGATGAAGAAGTGGATGCAACTTGGTCTAAGTAAATGTGCAATATACAGGACCTGAGATAATTTTCTGGACTCTCTCAAGTTTGTAATCTGTATTATTGCTTTTCTTTATCTATACTTCACCAGTTGCATAATTAAGTGTGGTTTTCTGCTGGCTGAGGAATGAAAGAATTAAGTGGAAAACGTTTTTATCACACATGGCTGGGAGTCTGGGTAGGTTTCAGGTCATGTGGCTTCTGTACGGTTCAGTTTTTGTTTTGCCATCTGCCATTGCCGGTATGTTCAGTTCTTTCACTTTTCAGTCTGTTCTCACTGCTTGTTTGCTTTGTTCTCATTTTCTTCCGGTTCTGATGGCAAAGGATAGATCTCATACGAAATCTAGAGCTGCTAAATGGCTTGAACCCTACAACAAGAGACCAATAAATTGTACCACTGATTGAAGTGGTGATGATCATGTATCTGATCGCAGTTCTTGTGGTGGGTCGAGTAGGAGTTCTTCACCTCCCTGCACTTCTTCAGAACTACCGGACTGGGCGAAGGAGCATCTTAAGCAGCAGCAAGCCATTGCTACAAAATTGAAGCGCTTGCAGAGTGAAATAATAGTGATCTTGAAATCTCAGAACACTCAGAAACCCCATGAGGCAGATCCAGAGTTTCACTTCACTGGTAACAAGAAACAATACTATCTAAACAAGAAAGTATTAGAAAAAAATTGACGAAGCGCTGGCGACGAAAGACAGCGAGGACTGTTTTAAAAATCTCACTGAAGGTGAGGATTTGCTTGTGGAAAGGAACAGGCACATCTTACTTGCTGAAAAGTACAGCTGGGATATGGTTGCCTGCTGCACTGCTGATCCACTTGCTAGCGACTCGGATGACCAAAAGAAGATACAGAAGGCCGTTAAGGAAAGCAAACAGTTAAGGGAGGAGAAGAAAAGAGCGGCTTCCTGTAAGGTTCCAAGGGCTAAAGGAGTTATTCCACGTTCTTCGGAAAGGAGGGTTATCCTTGAGTGCATTAATGCAAGTTACATGATGCCATTAGTGGCGGGAAAACAGAGTCAGCCACGTGACGGGCGGTCTGTCTGTTTTTGTTGCTTCAAGCCAGGACACTTTGCCAGGGACTGTCGTGCTGCCAATGTCCAAAATGGAGCAGGAGCTTTTGGGCAGGAAACTATCAACAAACAAGCCAGTGAATTCCTGATGTCCGGAATGGCTAACGATCCCTGTTGTGATGGTTCTGTGAGTGATTCTTTTTATGATATAATTGGACAGGATTCATTTGTTGACGTAAATCATAGTTGTGTTGTTGTCAAAGGTCGATTGTGAGAGAACATTGCCTTCTGTCAGAATATTGGCGCAAGTAATTGGTTACTGAGAGTTATTCGTGAAGGTTATTGTTTTGCTGTTTGTTGAGTTACCTGAGGCAAAGTTTTTTCAGAATTACAGGAGCGTGTTATGTAATGCTGAGTTTGTGTCTGCTGAGATCTCTAAATTGCAGAAGTCGGGTGCATTGGTGGAGGTGAGCTCTACAGACCTTCTGGTGTGCAGTCTATTAGGCATAGCCATGAACAGCTCGGGGAAACTTAGGCTTATTGTAGATTTATGCTATGTCAATCAACATCTGCAATCATGTAAATTCAAGTGCAAGAACATACGTACAGCAGCCGATTTGTTCTAACAAGGTGACTGGTTCCTCAAATTTGACTATACCAGTGGATATCACCATGTGGAAATTTTTCCGGAACATACAAAGTTCCTTGGCTGCTCTTGTATGGCTGATAGTTCCAGTAAGTTTTTTAGTTTACTGTTTTGCCTTTCGGCCTTTCAGTTGGTCCTTTATCTTTACAACATTCCAAAAAGCCCTGATGAGGCACTGGAGAAGGCAGAGAATTTGTTTATTTATTTACCTAGATGATGGTGCAAGGGGAGATTCTAATTTCTGCGAAGCACAGCAGGTATCTGACATGGTGCGACAGGATGTGCAGCATAGCGGTTTTGTGGCCAACGATGCAAAGAGATAATGGGTGCCAGTCCAATCCAAGGAGCTGCTAGGTTATGTCCTGAATTTACATGCTGGAACCTTTCAAGTCCCCCAAAGAACGGTAGATGCTTTTCACCATGTGCTAAGGGATGTTATAGCTCACAAGTTTGCATTGTAGTATCTGCATGCACAGTTGCCTGGTTTACAGGACTCCTGGCTTCCATGAGTTTGGCGCTGGGTCCAGTGGTACGCTTTGGACCAGAAGCTTATACCAGAACATTGGACAAGCAGTTTTGTGGGACACCCCTTTCCAGTTATCTTCAGATGCTCAAGGTGAGATTGTTTTCTGGCGGAGGAACTTTCGTAATACAGGCTATCCGATTTGGTCTCCTAGTCCTGAGCCTGAAGTTTTGACTTACTCACATGCTAGTGATTCTGGTTGGGGCAGATTTGCTGTTCAGGTTGGGGGAAAAGCGGCAGTAGGAAGTTAGTCAGTCAATGGGAGTAACAAGAGCTCCACCTTCCCGGAACTGCGGGCAACTGGTCTAGTTTTGAAGTCTTTTGCTCCCCTGCTAAGAGGCAAGGAGGTTCTACACAGAACAGACAAAAAGAACACAGATCATTCTGTCAATAGGCAGCCGCAAATCCAACCTTCACAATGAGGGAGTTAATATCTATAGGCTGTGCAGGGAGTTTAACATTCGTCTAACTGCGGAATGGATCAGCAGGGAGTTGAATGGGGTTGCTGACGAGCTGTCGCGGATTGAAGATTCAAATGACTAAGCTCGATCCTTCCTGTTTTGCTTACTTGGACAAGTGTTTGGGTCCTCACACAGTCGACTGGTTTGCAAGTGTAAAGACTAGGCAGTTGGACAGGTTTTGTAGCAGATTCCTTAGCCCTGGTTGTCAAGCTGCCTTCACTGTCTCATGGTCAGGGGATTACAATTGGCTGTTCCTGCCACCATACCTGGTTCCTGGCATTTTGTGCCACATGTCAGATGGAGAAGAGGATGGAACCTATTAGTCCCAGAATGGCACCCTGCACCGTAGTGGCCCCTGCTCATTACCAAGCATGGTACGTGGGTCGGGTTTGTAACAAACTCCCTTAGGATCCAACCTTATGACGGCATCTTTATTCCAGGAGTAGCAGCCAGCTGTGTCTTTACAACAGGTGTGCCACCTTTTGGACTACTGGTGCTTCAGCTTTGCTTCTGTGGCTCCCATGTTTGGACTTAGAGGCTTGTTTGCTGCCTTGTTTCATGCATCATTCTAGCTACAAAGACACAGCTGCCAGGTACCTTGATGATCAAATCATGTCCTTGGTGGCTGGTGCCATGCACGCCATCATGTCTGCTATTGTTTGAGTTACAACCTAATTATGGACACCTGTTTGTTTTTAGCTGCTGTTATTGCTTATCAGCTGTTTTGGCTCCTAAGGCCTGTTACGGGCTCCAAGCTATTATGGCTTCATTGATCCTTCTGGTATGGACCTGAGTTTTAGTGTGTGTACATGTATGTGGATCTACTCCTCTTTTATGCTAAGTGTGCTTACTGGAATCTCTCTGCTGTTATGGCATTTGTCATTGTTGCAGCTGTAAAATACATGGAGGAGGTCATCTTTCCAACTGATTTTCATGCAGATTGTTTTGACCATTTGGAATTGTGACAGCTAGCAAAGGCATTACCAGCTGTATTGGTTTGTGATCAGGCTGCTACATCAGTTGTGACCTATCTGCGTGCTTATAAATCCTGGAGGTCATGGGCCGGTCGTCACAATGCTGCTTTTTTGCCGATAGATCCTCTGATCTTCATGCTGTATATTGTGTTTCTCATTCATTCTCATTCAGTGTCTTCAGTGAAGTCTGCATTGTATGGGGTGAGCTGGGTTCATAAAAAGAGTTGTTATCAGGAGCCGAACGAGTATCCGGTAGTGGAGCAAGTAGTTGATGCTGCCAGGCAAATTCTTGTTAGACTGGCTGAATGTAAGGAGCCTCTGTCTTCAGCTCTGGTGCAGAAAGTGATCAGTCGTCTCGAGAAGGGTGACCTTGGTGACCTCCAGCTGGCAGTTTTGTTTTCCCTGGGTTCCTTTGGTTTCTTTCGGTGGGATAACTTGCACCATTTGTCAGTAGACAGTTTTCATTTGCTGTTTCCCATGTAGCTATTTTTCTGAAAAAATTGGAGAATGATCAGTTCCACAAGGGGTCATGGGTTTTCTTAGCCCATGGCAGTACACCCCACTGCCAAGTCAAAATCGTTGAGAAATTCTTGAGAATTGCAAACCACTCCAAAGGCTCTACATTATTTCAACATGTGTTGCATACCAAAAGAGGAGTCAGTATGAGCAAAGAGGCTAAGTCTTACACTTGGGCAAAGGAGCTGATCAAGAAGGAGCTTGACAAAGAAGGTCTGGACCCCACAACATTTGGAATCCATAGCCTATGATCAGGAGGAGCTTCTGAGGCAGCAGCTCTTGGTGTGCCAGACAGACTCTACCAGAGACATGGAGGTCGGAGAAGTAATATAATAATAATAATAATAATAAATAATCTTTATGGAGGAAGCTCCCATCACATAGCGTGGTTTTCAGGGAGGTCCTCAGTAACTAATGTAAAATAGAGTAAAGAATTAAAAACTTATCACAATCAAATCCAAGTACTAATAAGAAATGAAAGTAAAATTGAAAATCACTTTTAAAATTTAAACCTATCAAGTAACGACATTCTAAAAGAATTAAAAGGAAGCTTTTTTAAAGCACTATTTCCTGATCTGAGCAAACCCCAGTTACTACTTGATTTAATGGATCGAATAGTGTCCTTTGAGTGAGTGTTATGACTATGGTAATCTACATCTTGGATAATCATATTGTTTCTGTTGTCATCTATCAAATTATGAGAGGGCTCAGAACAATTATGTAAAGGAGTCTTTAGACTCGCATCTACTAGTTACAAAGTCAATTTTGGATGGACTTTGACGTTCTTTTTAATAATTATTGTTATTTATGCCAACTGCTGGGAAAGTAAGAAGGCTTGGAATAATTGCGTAAATGAGTCCTTAGACTTGCTTCTACTTGTTCAAAGTCAATTAAGGACAGACATTGCCATTGCCTTTGATTCTATGTAGTTCATGCCAACAGCTTGTTTTCTCATGTTGAGTTGGACATTCAAGGAACTCTATTTCGGTCGTTACATGTCTACTTTAGCCATCGAAATAGTTATTTGTGCATGCATAAAGGGTGTTATGCATTGATTTTTCCTATATTGTGCTCTTTCGACATTTGCATTGTTTAGCTTGGCATGGCTCTCAGTGATGTGTGAGAGGTGTGGTTTTATGTAGGCTGAGGAATGAAAGAAGCGGAAAACGTTTTTTTTCACACACGGCTGAGAATCTGAGTACGTGTGTGGGGGAGTTTCAGGTCACATGGCTTGTGAAAGGTTTGGTTTTTGTTTTGCCATCTGCCATTGCCTGACATGCCCCACCCACCCACCCACCCGTGAAGTATTTTTAGAATGTATTAAGTTGAAGTGAAATTATTCTCTAGCCACTTTTTTGTGTCATTGTAAGACAGTTATGTTGTTACGCTAATAAAGATCAGGCTGTGAGGTGTGGCATGGCATGGCTCCCAGCAGTGCGTGAGAAGTTTTCTGATACACACAAATTACAAGATATTTCTGACCTTGGTGGTATCGCCTGTTGAATCAGCTGAACTCAAAGCAGAAGAATGACTGCGCTCATCTTCTAATAGATCCAAGTCTTCAATCAGGAGAGGCGAGGGGACCTAACACGAATGTAACAAATGTAATTGCTTTTGTGATTTCTGCAATTGCAACAGAAATTTGGCAATTAAAGGGACTAGTCACTGTATTTTAGCCAATTCTGTTTACAAGCACAGCATAAGCATAAGGAGAACAAAACATGCTTGTGCTTATGTTTATGCACCAGGAAAAAAAACCAGCGTTAGAAGTTTCAAGTTTTGTGTTGTTACAGGTCTGTTCAATATCCCTGTAAAATTAGGCTTTAAGGTAAAAACATTACCCATTTGTTAATAGAGATCAGTCAGCATCTAGAAATTTTAGTTAAGTTTTCAAAAAGGAAACAACATTGTTCACTTAACGAAAATTAATATGTCAGGACATTCCTGTGCCATCTTCAGTTGCAAACATTTGTTGGAAAATTTGAATTTTGACGGTATACATGTAATTACATTTTAAAATTAGTTGCTTGTGGGATTGTTACTGGTGACAACATGGCTTCTCGTCTCTTGTTTTGTCCCCAGTAACACTGGGGAGATCCTAAGTAAGATCTTTAAGTACACAATTTGTGTTAACTACTCCGGATGGCAAAAGTTTTATTACTTACACACACACTGATAATGAATGAAATCTCGAGCTAAACCTACAAGTTTTTATGCTTATGTAAATAATAGAAAGTTCCAGAAGCATCTCTGCATATATTTGGGCTTGCGGGACAATGCATGCTAATTATCAAACACTCTACATTATGACTATGCCAGAAAGGTGATAGAATGAATCGAACTACACAAGCTGATTATGTAACAATTTGAAACTACTGTAAGCCTCTTCCCTACTGGAATAAGATTCACCTGTAAATCTACATCAGTCACACAACAAACAGCATTCAGCTTCAAAAACTTGTACATGAGAATCACTGACCTTCCCTGGGGTGATTGGCTTTTCAAAGAAATAGTATTCATCTTCTTGGACACTCACAGTCAAAGTATAGCGCTTTCAAACAAAGCAGTCAAAATATAAGTGCAAAATAATTTCAACATATCAAAGAGCAGTAAATATAATTTATTTATAAAATATGTGAGATGCTATAGGCGCTCTCATTGGTCAATGAGTGTGTTTAGATGAGAGTATGTAAACATGGTTGTGATGTTTTAGATTTGAATGTGTTTACATAGCCATGTAAACACATGTAAGTTGTGTAAGTTATGTAAGCCATGTAAGTTATGCTGTCTTGCATTCTTTGAACCCCCCCTTTTGTTTAGATGAGGAACTATGTAAACATGGAAAAAGTGCTCTATTGCTTAAATATAAAGCTGAAAAAAAAATGAAAATTCCTATTGCTAAAAAGCGGAGTCGCGGTGGCCTCATGGTTAGTGCGCTTGTCCCCGGATCGAGCGGTCTGGGTTCAAGTACTGGCTGGGGACATTGTGTTGTGTTCTGGGGCAAGACATGTAACTCTCACAGTGCCTCTCTGCACCCAGGAGTATAAATGGGTACCAGTGAATTGTTGGGGAAACCTAACAAATTGCGGGGGAGTGACCTGCGATGGACTAGCATCCCGTCCAGGGGGAGTCATAGAAATACTCCTAGCTGCTTCATGCTACAGAAACCGGGATAAGCTCCAGCAGCTAGGAGCCAGTCGGCTCCAAGGCTTCACTTTAAAAAGGTTTATTTGAATGTATTGTGTTATTTACCATGATAAAATATTTGTATTACTTTTATTGGTGGTTTCTTTGATGTACCAAAAAGGGTGTGTTGGTATGAACAACATCAGTTAACTACTGTGTAATGCAGAAAGAGAGAAAAGTTTTTCGAGAACCAAGTTGTTACAAAATTTTGATAAAATGACATTGCTTAGTATTCAACTGCCATGTTGAAAAACAATACTGAAGTCCAAGAGACCATGATTGGGAAGATGACAGAAGGATAGGGTTCTTGTAACCTAGATGTCAAAATTAAACCAAAGCTAATATACCTTCAGTCCTTTCAGCTTTCTGAATTGTCCTTCCTCCTCATCATAACGAGCCTCATTAAGATAAATGTCTTTCTCGGGTATTTCTGTGGGCCGACCTGCAGCAAGGAAATCACTGACCTCATACAATGAAGTAACTTTTCTCCAATGTTGTAAACTTGAATGTGAAGCAATTTAAATCCTTTGGGTTAGGAATCAAACACCCCATTTTTATTTATGAAACTATTCCTTACAGGAGAATACTTTTACGTGACCATATCGTGGGCTCAAAAAAAAAGTTAAGAGCATGGTTCTTTTAAGTTGACTGCTGACCAAGTGCTGGTTTTCGAATGGCGTATGTAGTAATCAGGTAGTAATCAGGGCTGGGTTGTTCAGAGGCAGGTTAACACTAACACAGGATTAAAAGTTAACAGAAGTAGAAATATTTCTTGTAAACAAATGTTCTTCACTGCTGTTGTTTTGCATTGTTTGAGACTATTTAAACTCAGAGCAGAGGCAAAACTATATGCGGAAAACCTCACCGCAAAGTTACAAAACTCAAGTCAAAATTCTTGCTTATCCTGGGTCAGCTTAATCGGGCTTTGAACAACCCAGCCCAGGAGCTCTGCTTTTAGGCTTGGTTAAACATATTAGTACACTCAACAAAATATCTCTGATGGCAGCAGCTGTGCTTAATATGCAAGAATACATTCAGCTATTCTTTTGCATAATAGCGGAGCTACGGCAGCCAAGTGGAACTCCAAAACTAATAAAATTTGGTGACCCATGAAGCACCATACAGACTCTGGGGGAGGGGGAGAGGTCTCTTGAGGTAACCCAAATGGGGAAGCACAAGAATGCCATCTTTTCTTGGCAGAAAAAAAAAGAGAAAGCTCATTTCTATTTGTTATGTCAACAAATGACAGTGGAGGTTGATCTAACGATTTCAAGATAGGCTTTAAGGTTACTCTAAACCTTCTTGGGGCTACCTTTGCCACATTTTCTTTTCTTCAACCAAATTAAAGTTCATTATTTAAGATAACATTTTCCAAAAAAAAATGAAAATAAAATGTTAAAATGTGCACAAGTTATTGGGAGAAAGAGATTTTTTAATAAAAGTTAATAAACTGTCAAGGTGTCATAATCGCCAAAAGGCATGGACCCCTCAGTGACCTTTTCACGGGAAATGGCTTAGTCCAGAGATTCTATATCAAATACTTTTAATTTTAGATTTCATGTCCGTCAAGAGTGACTCCTTGTAATCACGCTTTGGCAATTGCACATTGCTTTGTTGCACATCGTTGTCCTGCTGTTTTGCACATTATTGTTGACTCCCTGCCTAAACCATGTGCGCCTAAAACGTGACTGTAATACTATCACATTCCTGCAAAGCTCAAGTTTGCATATTGTGAATGCTGAGGGTTTCGTTGTTTCATTGGCTGGTGGCTTTTTTGGTGTTGACATTTTCCTCTGAGAGGGCGTGACATGATTATAAATCTTTAGATGGCAAAAACTCAAACTCGGTTTTCGAGAGAATCCCTCCTCTTTAAAAGAATTAATAGGGTATGTAGAATCAGCGATTTTCTGTGAAATTTGGTCAGAACATTCACTGATAGATAAGGAACAAAATTGTGTGGGCGAATTCTTTTATTTTGAATACTTCTCTCATAGCGGCCTCTAACGCAACACGTTATGCGAATTTTTCGATAGTGGAACTTGACAGATCTATGAAAAGATAACCAATAGAAATAAAAGGAAATCCTGACATGCTTTGAGAGATTGATGCTTCGTGATTAACACTGCATAGTTATTTTGCATGAATGACTGCATTTGATGCCCAATTAATTTGCTGGAATTTCAGTTGGTTGATTTGCCGTTTACGGCTTCTACTGCCTTAGGAAAGCAAACTGCAAAATAGAATATAATTTTATCAAATTCTACATTTCATAACCTTTCTATTGATATAAAGTTTGTGGGGGTTTCCTTAAAAACAGCGTGCTGTGAATTTTTTTCTGGAAGACACCTGTGAAGGTTTGGAGTAACCTTAAGTGAAGCAAAACGTGAAAGAGGTCAGAAGAAAGCAAGAATCAACAGGCAAGGAAGTAGCGAAGAAGACCGCGAAAGAGAGTGGGCCAGAGAAAGGAGGTGAAACAGTAGTGAACAGTCAGGGTTAGAGAAAGGAGATGAAATAATACCGAACAATGCCGTGAAGCAGAGCGAATGAGGGCTAGAGAAAGGAGACTAAATACCCGAAAAATTGACTCAGAAGACTGCAGAACTTCCCAAGTTAATTCCCATACCAAGATGTTGAGCTGTGCAAGAAAAGTCACATGTTCATTTCTGTTTTCACTGGTGAACGCAAAATTCCCATTGGCTAATACTTACTGAGTAACTTATTAATTGTTTGTTGCACAACCTCATTATAAAAACAGAAACAATAGTCTCGGACAAAGATGTATTAGTGAGGGCTTTGAGAAAGTACGAGTGAATGCCTATAAAAATCAACCAAAACAATTACATGACAATTGTTTACGTTCCAACGGCGGATTTGGGGCAAAACTGATGAAAAACATAAAAAAAAACCCTGTAGAAATTGTTTTTAAGGCATTTTAAATTATAGCCCATAGAAAAATATGGCCATGTTTTAGTGCAATAATTCGTTTTCTAAAAAAATTGAATGTTATCATCACAAATTCAATTGCGGGTAGTGTGATTTTACATAAGAAGCATTATTAAATTATTTTGTAGAAAGCAACCAGTGACTAGCATACTTCAAATGCCATGACAATAGAACCACCTTTACTTGTGAATTCTTGTCCTTGCAAACAAGTGACAAATAAAACAAAAGACAATGTCTGCAGAGTCTAGCAGAAAAAAGGTCCAGTTGGCCAGTACTAAGAAGTATCAAGTCAGTATTAATAAATTAAGACTAAACTAAGCAATGATCAGTAAACTAAACAAAAATCAGTGAACACTGTACAATAGAGAAGACAAAGAAGAGACATGCAGTCATAGTAAGATTCTGACTTAGTTATTCCTCTACAAGTTATTTTCAGTGAACACAAGAAAACCAGTATAAACTTTACTGCAAGCTTATACTTCTGTACAGCAAAATCTCTTGAGACTAAAATTTAATTTTAATGAATACAACATTTCCTTACATCTAACATATTCTCTGAATGGAAGTACACAGCATTTTCCTGCAATGTACTCAGCTGGCATGGTTTCCTCTAAAGAACTCAGGAACACTTCTTTTTCATAAAACATTCTTGTTGGTAAATGCTGAGTACTGGCAGGACTGATAAACCATGGACCATGAAACCATGTTTGTCCACTGAAACAAACAATTACAAAAAGGAGCAACGTCAACAAATTATGTTCAACAATGAATGTTTGAATTAATGTGCTGAAATACAATAATTCAATTTGCACATGCCACACATTATTAGCTTACATTGTTTTTCTTGTGGCTTGCATTGGAAATTTCTCTGCATTGGTTTTCAGCACTAAAAGCTAACATATTGTGTAGCTTTGAGCAATGAATCGCTGTGTCACAACCAATAAGACAGGTTACAAGTGGAGAAGCACACATGAATGGCTTACTTGATAACTTGAATTCAAAGTAACAACTAGTGACAATCTCAGATAGTGCAGAGTGCAATTTATGGCTCTGATACAGTAGTCACACAGGTCCTCACCCCTACCGTTCCACCCTTGGTAGTCAACTAGGCCTTTACCCCTTCGCAGAATATGAGCGGACAAAAACTTGATAAGACATAATCTTAGCAGTGTGTATGTTTCATGTTTGTATGTTCTTTCAAGACCCAAAAATAACTTACAACTACCGCTTGTGAAGACGACTTTGAATTGTATTGTACTGTTTTATGTTGACGTTCATTCATTTTAAATTCAATAATACGTAAAAATAACAAATGTGACAATAAAAATATAAGATGTGTATTTGTTTTGCTCACTGCTGGAGAGAATAAAGTTCAATATCTAATGAAAAATCAGTGAAGAACGATTTTGTTCTATTCAAAATGCAAATTTTCATTTCATCAATAGACAAGAACTAAACTTATTATCAAATACTCATGTAGAGTCACGGAAAAGTACATTCTTATTCTGTTGCCACCTTTGGAGTTAACAATAAAACCAAGTCAAAGTAATACACAATGCTAAAATAGTGTCCCCAGTTAGCTTTTTAAGCTAAATACAATTGACATTTTATTCACTCATTCATTCTCTTGATTAACACAACGATGGAGCATTTCAACAAGTATTATATTGAAGGTAGAGATCTTTGCTTGAAATTATACCCTAATCTGTGAGTGAATCAAGACTGATGAAATTAATTGGCAGTTTCAGAAAGTATCATGGAGTCTGCGGCAATAATTGCAAAGTTTCTTTTGTCACAAATTTACTAGTTTTACATGTAACTAACATGGGAAAGTTTCAGCTGAATATGAACTTTTTGCTTTCACAGTAGAGGAAATAAACAATCTGTTAAGGAGAAGCAATATCATGATTAACATTTCCATTCTTTATTTGAACCCTGGCTAACACACAACAGTTCTTAAACAGCAGACAAAATTTTGTGAACGCAGCTACATGTAAGGGTGATTCCAGAAGATATGCAGTCACAATAGTGTTCTTTGCACTAAAAAAGGGAGAAATGACGTTACGTGAAATATAGCTGCTATCCCCAGTCAAAACGAGAGTGTGGTGAAACTCCAAAAAAAAATGTGTGGATCTGAACTAGAGAACGGAGGTTATCACACTAGCAATACTAGAATGCATGCACCTAACATGCTGTGCTCTACCATAAGAAAAAACACTCAACATTCGTGTGAAATCCCTTATGAAATGTATCTTTTTCCTAAGATATAGTCGACACTGATGCTAACTAATCTGCGCATGTATTTCGAGTAGATTGCTTTTGTTCTTAAGAGAATAGCACCACAAGAATAGCAAGAGATTTGCAAAAACACACATATATAGTTTTGTCACGTTGTCAATCAAACAATGAAAGTACACCCTGTTTTGCATAGTGCACACGGATACCTACCCACCCACCAGCCTTTACACAAGGCTAATATATTATTGATTAATTGAAATTAAGTATTAAATTTTACACCTCATTGCAGCTGAACGTCAAGAGACCTACTTTTAATTAAGGCTTAAAATAGCAATAATAATAATATGGAAATTCAACTACACTGCCTTATTTATGCGCCATTATATTTATTCAAGCAAGTTAAATAGCCTGGCCATCTCCATTCAGGATTTTATCAGCAAGCTACTCATTATAATAAATACAATCTTGAAAATTTGTCTTAATTAAATGTTTTAGTGAGAAGTACTCCTCCCTCCTCAAAGTCAATATGCAGTATAATGTATTGTAGGTAACTATGTTCAGCAAGTAAAGTAAGTAGAGTATTATATTGTTAGCAATGTACGTAGCCTGTATTGCAAGTAATTGTATTTTCTGTAAGAAACTGTATTCAGTATTGTATTGCTAGCATAAGTAACCCATTTTGTAAGTAACGTAAGTAATGTTCTGTAAGTAGAGTAGCGTAACGAGACCCGCACTGTAAGGAATGTTTGTAGAATTGTGTTTTGTATATTAAAATTATTAAAAAAAAAAATTAAGGCTTAAAAGATTTTCCTGTTCTTTTTCTCTGCTTGTCCTACACTGTGCTCGGCTCACTATACACTGTAGGTACTCATACTCACCCAGGAGCCAGTTCTACTCTGTGCTCGAATCACTATTAGGTACTCGATACCCACTTGGAAGCAGGTTCACAGGTTACTTACTTTTTGTCTGTCCACATTTTATCAATCCTGGACATGCACAAATATCCTTCATCAGATCTGACATACACACAATCACCTGGAAAAAAAAAAATTATTTGTAATTGATGATTAACTTGATGATTATAAGAAATTTCCAGACTTACCTACAAGATGATTATTTTATTTAACAAATAACTGACTTCTGTAACAGTGAAGTTGCGCCAAATGAACTCCTTCTTTGACAAATTTGACTGACATGATGGCTGATCGTGGACACTTGACTGATGTAATAACCAATTGAGCATTTGCAGGTTATCACTCAAGTATCACTCAACACTAGGGCAACAGTGTTTTTACTATACATAATCTAACATATCAATAACCTGGGAATCGGACCTTCCTTAGGGGAGAGAAGGGAGGAGAAGGAGGCAAGAATGAAGGGAAAGCATTTGCTCACGTCAACATCCAAATTCTGGATGCTGTGCTGAATGGCTAACACACAGAAGGCAATATGTCAAGCTTCCTGAAATGAAACCCTGCCACTGCACTGCAACCTCACTTGAGCAGTTAAATTTCAAAAGTGTTACAGGTTTTCTGCTTAAAATGCTCCAACTATTTTGTTTTGTAGACCCACTTAAAACTAACGCTAAATACAGAATTACATTTGATTACATTGCTAAAGCTTTTAGGCTACGCTACACAGAAGGAAAAAAAATTACAACATGATAGACAAAAACTTGGAAAAAAAAAGAAACATGGCACCTTAACTTTCATTATTGGGAACATTGTAACAGGCATTAAAACATTTGTACAAAAAAGTAGAAAAGTAGAAAAGGAAAAAACTTCACACATCGTGCAGAGAGTGGTTAATACTGAAGCTTGATACTAAAGTTAAAATACCTGGAACAGAGAACATGACAATGTCAAGGAGTTTGTATAGTAATGTAAAATTACTTACCAAGCTTATAAGGAGTATCTCTAACACAAAGCTGTTCATAATATATACATCCTTCCTCAGAATTTTGGGGAGATTCCAAAACAACATTCTAAGAAAGAAAGTGGTTAACTTAGTTATGTATTGGTTTTCATTCTGGAAAACTATTGGGAGGAAAGGTCAACAAACTATTGTGGTATTCAGTAATAATTATACTTTTGGAACTGCAGGCAACCCAAGCTAACGATAAGAGCCACAGCACCATAAGACAGCTCAACTTATAATTGTACAAGAACAAAGCAATTTTGGTATACGAGGTATAAATCAAAATCCTCTGTGATCAAAAGAAACTTACACGCTTTGCCATTCTATGCTGGATTCTTTACAGTTTGCCAGCTCCTTAGATCTATAAGGGCATTTCACACCAACCTCACCACAGAAATGCAAAGTCTACTTTTTTTTTGCCCGTAATACGTTCGTCATTATATAATAGTAAAGAGAAAATAACAGATATAAGAATTTATATTTTTGTTGTGGTTATTAACATGATAATATAAACAACTTACCTTTTTTACATCTTCATGAACTGAACCTTCCACTTCATTAATTCCCATTGGCTCTACCTTGTTGTTGGTGTTGTTGTCAAAAACAGTTGGAATACGTTTGGGCTGAAGAGGTTCTTCTCTTGTAACATGATTAACACTGGATGTAGATACAGACCACACCTATGGCATAAAACCAGTGAGTGTTAAACAGGTCTGAAAATCCTAGTCTTTAACCAAACAATTGAAAAATACTGAGCAGTACTTTCATTTGATGCTGTTTGCTGTTCAACAATTAATTGCAATTCAAACACTATTTGGACTCTCGGGAATAAGAGGCATAAACTACGGTAAAATCCTACCTGTAAGAACCTACATTTTTTTAACTCTGGCAAAATAGGTTCTTGTATTTTGGGGCAGTTATTGACAATTTAGGAAAAGTAGGTTCTTAATTAGGTTCTTAATTTCTATGAAGGAGATATACCAGAAAAAATAAAATTGAACTTGGGTTTTGTCCTACAATATACAGTATTTATTTGCAACTGTATTATGTATTTTCTTGTAATTATACATTCGAAATCTCAGTCACACTCCTTGGTTAAAATGTTTTTCATAATTTAAGGACGTTCGCACTAATTGTTTCTGCACATCCTTACTGCACACACAAATTCACATGCCATGTCATGCATGAGAGCACGCACTAAGTAACAAAATGAACAATGATAGGGCAGATGGCCAATGCTACACTGTATAGCTTTGCCTGGAATTAACGATCTTGGATGTTCGGTGACCCCTACTTTCTTTCCAGAAACAGATTTTATTTACAATTATCTCCACATTGTCCAAAAATGAACAAAAAAATCAGTGTGGGAAGTTAAAAAAAACTCAAGATTTCTGTCCATGGGACATCGAATCCTGCCATCTTGCTGCTGCAAGGCATGTGAAACTCTGGTTGCTAAATGTGAACTTGTTCTTTAAGGAACCTCACCAGTTGACTAAATTCACTTATTAAGTCCACTTAAATAATGTTTGGCAGAGACCATTTCACTTCAAAGATCTAATTGCAATATTTTTGGGCTTACAGGCACTGTGGCCTTATTCGCTAACGAAGCCCAATTTTTTCAGATTTAGGGTGTTTTTCCGGGCATGTTTTCTCCAAAACAAAGTTGGTGACCCCCCATTTTTTTACATTTCTGACATAACTAACTCATCATTTTACAGTAGTTAAAGTCTCAGAAAAAAAATCAACGTTGGAAAATTTTCGTACAAACGTCCTTAACTGTAACCCACATATAAGAACCTGCTTGATCTTGCTTGGCTAAACAGGCTCTTATATTTTTGGACATTAAAATACCAAAATTCTGCCAGCAGGTTCTTAAACCACTAGGTTCTTACACATGGGTTTTTACTGTATCACACTGGGGTAAGTCTAAAGGGTTGAACATATAACATACTGTTGCATACATTTAAGAAGGCCTACTATATGAGATCTGAAAATAATATAATGAAAATGAAGTGATACATAATCAAATGATATAACATTCAATGCTTCAGACAAGAGCTAGATCTCCCTATAAGACCCCAGGACATAGAATCTTGTGGTGCCAGTATACTTCTGTGACTTTCTTTCAAAGCAACAAAAATAAAAAAATAAAATAAATAAATAGACCAAAAAAAAAAATAAAATAGAGAAAGATGGGTAAATAAAGGAAAGGTTAATTTTTTTCTAGCAGGAAAGACAACTTGATAAATAAAGAAAAAAAATGCCATTAATAGTTGTGCTCACATTACAGCTCAAAATCTACCTTCATCTTCTTGAATGACTTTGTTTTGACATTGTATCTTGATTCACACACAAACACATCCTCGTCTTTGAAATTCTGCAGAAAAGGTAAACATAAGTTAAACTATAAACAAAAGGGAACAGAGGGAAAATGTTTGTTATGTTGACATTATCTATGCTTCTGTCCTCAAATAGATCATAAGTGAGAACCAGTCAAAATGTGAGAATAATTTAACTTATTATATAAATCAGAATAGCCCTCAACTTGCTAGGGTAATTTTAAAGGCGAGGAGACGTACATGTGTGTAAACTAAAATGTGGATTTTGTCTTGTGATAGAAATTAACTTCATTATTGATAACTCTTTCACTCTGAAGTACATGTACACGTACATAACTCATTCAGTTTTTTGTTGCAGCTCATTACTTTATCAGTGGTAACAATCAGCTCAATTGTTCTACCTAAATAAATGTAATGATTATTTATAAATGAATGATAGTTGCAAAATTTTGTCTCATGTTGTTTGTTGTCTTCATAATAATGTTCTTTTGTCTCGAATCACCATGTTATTGTACATTTCTGTATATCATGAATTCATAAAACATGTGATTGCTTTCCTGCGATTTTCCTGAAGCAGGCTAAAAAATATATGTCACACTTTCACTCATCTTGTGTTAATGTGGCCACATCGAGGGTAAGTGGTGAGCGCAAGCGGAAAATCACTATGGTGGAAGTCTTGTTTATGTTTAACATAAACATAAACAAGACGTATATTTTATTGTTATTGTAGTGCTAGCTTGGGATATTTAAGCATGCTTCAGAAAAGAGCCGGAAAGCAATCCCCTGTTTCATGAATTCATGATATACAGAAACGTAGAATTGCATGGTGATTCAAGACAAAAGAACATTTTAATGAAGACAACAAACAACATGGGTGAAAATCAGCACAACATTTTCCTGGGTTGACGCTGAAAATTCAGCAGCCTTACAATGTTTCAATTAATTTGAAACTCCGGGATTACTTTGAATATGAATTGATCTCATTGAGGGCCAAGTCTAAAAAAAATTCATAGAGTGTTTTTCAATTCCCGCCCAATTTAATAATTTTAGGGGCAATTTTCAATAGAAAGCAAAATAACCTATACCAGTTGATATTCAAGCCAATGTTTCTGAAAGTCAAATGGAGCGGTTTCTCTGAGATTTTCACTCAAGGTAATTAATTGTTATAAGATTCATGTAAGACCAGAATACCATTTAGTCAAGTCTTGTGGACGTACATAGTCTACAGTAACATTTAACACAGCTCCGTTTTTGTTGTGTTTTGACACCTTGAAACTTCGCCTGTAATTTTCTTGAAAACGTTCTTATAGATTTTTTTTTAAATTTTGGCATCGTTAAGACAACTATGTCAAGTCCGAGATCCCGGTGTCATATTTCCAAAATGATTTCTGATGGCAAATTATTTGGTCTTATTTAAAATGGGGCATGGCATCATTTTGTTGCTACGGTAACTCAGATCCTGGTGAAATGTACCCCATTTAAAACTTTCATCTTTCTCTAGCACACCAGTAACATTCAATTTTCTGTTGGATTAATAATGGTGCTGATCTAGTCGCTCAAAGTTAAACGTTATCGTTACTCAAAAATCCGATTGAGCCACCTTAACACAAGTTGTCACAGCAAACATGCTAGAAGTGAATACATTTATCAGCATCAAAAAAAAAACCATAAAAGCATTTGAAGCTTATGTCTCACCTGAGGTTTTTGCTTGAAGTAGTCCTTAACAAACATGACATAGCATTTTCCTAGGACTTGCTTCAAGTTCGAAGAAGTACAGTAATCACTTTTAAACACTTCCTGTAAGGAACAAGTCACAGCGACACACTGGTCAAGAAAGTACATTTAACAAGGATTTTGAGATGGAAAACTGAGACAGTTTTCTTCTCTGGAGAAGTACTGAGGCAACAAAGGTTGAAAACAGTGCTTGTCAATTAAATCACCCATCACTTTTTTCAATCGTATCATTGACTAATTGATTGATTGATTGGCTACATTATTACAGTGGAAGAAATTAGATTATTCTGCCTTTATTTTTTATGTTATCTTTTAATTATTAGTAACCATGTCTACCTTACCTTTACAATACTTACACATAATACTTACAATACAATGGAGTACAAGAAAAGAAAAATAAGAAGTTACATTCATCACTATAACTTGCAAAATGTTGTGTTATATCTTACAAAGTCCAAAGACTTATGAAAAATTTAACCCCCGAGACCAGCTGCAAACAAAGTTTCTGACCTATTATGGAGTAATAAACACTATTCCACAAGAATATAAAAAGGCAATAAGGCGAACTGGTGTACAGCAAGAGCATCTTCCACAACCATGGCAGAACTTGAAAGTGCTAACAACCAAAGCTATACATAAAAGTTTTGTGAAGCACATATTTGAAGAACCCACCACAAAACAACGCCTTATTGGAAGAAATTAGATAATATTATTTTCTTCCCAATCAATCTTGCAATCTCTATCACTGCAGTGCTCAAAACTAAAAAAAATGCCCAAGTTGTCCTTATTCCAAATGCAGGACAACCCAAGCCCTGGCTCTGGTTGCCCTAGGCTTTAATGAGACAAAAACTGTTAAACGACTATTTTCACAGGTCTCTGAACTGTCAGGCATTAACAAATCACAATGCCTGAATGTTGCATACAATGTTAGTGTAATTACTCACTTTATTCTGTTTTCATGCTCAGCAATCACAGTTTCACATGAACAACTTAACACTCAGAAAAAGTACTTCCTTGAAACAAAAAGTATATCACTTGCATATTCACATAAGGGAAATACAGTAACAACAGCAAAAAGCCTATGGCGATGGTACATTCTTTCTGTTTTACTATGTCAAATCTGTGAACTGAAAAGGTAATATGCATTCACTGTAAATTAGTTTTACCACATGGAGCTTAAAATATTGTCCTTGAACGTCACAGGGTTGAACAAGACTACCAAATGACGGCAGTTGTTTAGATGTAATATATCAAACACAAAAGACAGTGTTTGACCACATTTCCAAACACCGAGAAGAGAGTTAAAAATACAACGTATAACAGAGTATTTTTGATGAACTTCAAGGTGTTTAGAAATGTGGTGAAACACTGTCTTGAGTGTTAGATATATCTTCTCAATCGAAACTAAAACTAAGGAAAAAACGGAGAATTAAAATTGTAAAAATCTATGCTAATTAAGATCAGATATCCAACCACTGTCACGGTCATGATTTCCTTTGTTTAAACTTGATCAATTATTAATGAGTTTGAGAAGGTTACATAAACACAATTCAGATGTTATTTTCCTTCAAGAAATGTACTCGTCCCCTATTAAGCTCTGGGAAGCTGAATGGGGAGGCAAAATTGTTGAAAGTTATGGTTCTAATCACAGCTGTGGTGTAATGATCCTTTTTAAGCCCAGGATCAATGTGTCAATTGAAAAAATTATATGTGATAAGAACGGTAGATAAGTTTCAAGCGAAGTATTTCTAGACGATGAAAAGTTTGTTTTTGTGAATATTTATGCACTGAATGATTAGCCACAACAAATTCATTTCCTTAGAGACTTGTCCAATTCTGTGCTCAACATGCACTTATGCAAACGAGACAATAGTACTAGGCGGTGACTTCAATTGTGCCTTAACTGAGCTTGATAAGTGAGGGGCCCGATCAATGGAACTTAAAAAGTTGGTTACTGAAGAAATCAACAACCTGATAATTGCTCATGATCTTATTGATAACTGGAGAGCAAACAATCTGAATCTACAAGGATTCACTTGAAGCAATCTGTCGATGAAGATTCAGTGCAGATTGGATTATCTTATGATCTCAAAGGATATGCGATCTTCACTACAAACTGTTAAAATAATACCCAATGTTTTTTCTGATCATTCCGCATTGGGTTTGTCTTTATCTTTTGAAGAAAAACAAGTTCAGCAGGGTCCTGGTTTTTGAAAATTCAATAATTCACTGTCAACTGACAAAGATTATACAGAACTGATTTCTAAAAAAATACCCGAGTTTGCATCAGAATATCATGAGGTAACAGATAAAGGGCTCATCTGGGAAATGATCAAAACGGAAATAAGAGTGGCCACCATTCTTTTCTCTAAAAGAAAAGCTAAGGAAAAGCGCGACAAGGAGAGAAAGTTGTAAGAAAAATTCAACTGCCTGCAAGAGCAAATCTGCTCAACATTTAACGAAGTGACAAATGCGGAAATAGACTGTGTGAAAGGCAAACTTGCAAAATTAACTGCCAAAAAAATCCAAGGAACAATAGTCCAAAGCAGAGCGCGATGGTATGAATTTGGTGAAAAGAATAATAAGTACTGGTTCTAATATTTAACTTTGCTACTCATCAAAAATTGAGGACTTGGAATTCAAAACAATGTTGAATTATTATAAATAACAACAATAATACAACAGTCAACAAAATGTCAAAGTGTAAGTTTTTTCATCTTCTAAAGTGAACACAGCAAATGGTCAATATGGCTCTGTGATTAAAACTTAATGTCTTTGAATATAATACTGCTGCTTTGTCTCTTAAGTTTGAGAATGTGGAACTAAACAAAGGTTTTTAGTCCTGAACTAGACAAAGATACTATCAACAAAAGACCTAGTAACTTATCCAGTCTTGACCAAACATGTTCAAAACAAGCTTGCAACGAGGCAGTATTTTTAGAAAAACCTTTTGTACAAGCTGATTGCATGGCTAGTTTTATAATTTATTTTTTTCTCAAGCATCTGAGCGGGCCGGAATCCTAAATCCTCAAATCTTATTGGCTAATCATATGCATGTGACTGGTCCAGCTTTTTACGATACGGCCCATGGGCCGGATTTTTTCCCCACTGCCTAAATTTCGCTCCCAAATGTTAGCGGTAATCGTCAATCTTTTGCCTTTTTTACACATCCATCGAGGATTAGTCAACGCAAGTTTATCTCTGTTCACCTTAAAATGGCAAGGAAAGTCACTGTAAGTAAATTCAATTGAGTGTTTTGAAGTTGTGAGAGTTTGCTTGGTTGTTTGTAGTTTGGTGCTGTAATGGCGCATAAACCTGTGTTTCTCTTGCTGTAAAATTTGAATCAAGTTCAGCCGAGTTTAACCTCTCTGATCGCTGCTGTATTTAGGAGAATTTCTGTGGAATACACATAACGAATTTCCTCGCTTTCTGCTATTCAATTTATGGTAGAAAAGTCTGATTTCAAGTGATTTGAAAAGCAACGACTGACAGAAGTTGTTTTTGTAGTAAAACTTCAAACTTCGCATGAAATTTCACACCGCAAAAACAATTTTGGAGAACTTAACTGCTGAAATAAATGCAACTAACATAAAGTAGTTAAAAAAAAAAATCTGTTCTTTAATACATCTTTCTTTTTCTACTATCTGAGTTACTCGCTCGTTGCCAAGATTTTTTACAAATCATTAGTAGACGGCGCACAAGCCAATTCAATGACAAGAGTTGCGTAAACAAAGCCATTTGTAATCTGCAAAACCAATTTGCTGCAGGAAAAAAAAAATTAACATACTATTTGCTGGATTAGGGTCAGTCTGTATAGTGAAAAACTGTGACCTTGGGCTTGAAAATGCTGCCTTCGGCCTGCAACCTTGGTCAGCATTTTTAAGACCTCAGTCATATTTTTTTACTATACGGACCTCCCAGCAGGCAAATAACATATATATACATATATATATACATATATATACATATATATACATATATATATACATATATACATATATATATACATATATATACATATATATA